ATTACTCCTTTCAGGCGCTATGAGGAGGATTCGGAGAATGACTGGAACTGTGGCTCGTGGTTCGAGTACTTGCTCATTGTTATACTCTCTACCATTTTGCTGGTGGGTGTATTGGTGCTTACGCTCTTCTGGATACTCTTCTATCGCGGCGGTTTCGCTTGGTCCGAAAATCCAACATTGCAATTCAATTTGCATCCCACCCTAATGGTGGCGGGCTTCATAACGCTATCGGGATTTTGTAAGTAAATGCAGTTCAAGTGATGAAAATTCATATATGTATTTATTTTTTTGTTTATTTGTAATTTTGATATTCACTTTTCTGTGCTTGCAGCAATTTTGCTTTACCGCCTCTGCCGCTGTTTGAAACATATTTACGTTAAGCTAATTCATATGTTCTTTCACGCCTGCGCCATACCGTGTGTGGCTTTGGGATTTCTGTCCGTCTTCGATTCGCACAATTTGTCGGAGCCGCCTAAAGTGAATTTCTACAGCTTGCATTCGTGGTTGGGTTTTGTCACCATGGGAATGTTTGTGCTGCAATTCGTTGTCGGATTCTTCAGGTATCTACTCATACATATGGGCACAACACACATGCGCAATTGACGCTCCCATATACATAATTATTAAACATCTGCCTATTTGGTTGTGATGAATTTTTTTGTGTTGCATTTAATTTTACTTAAATTTGTTTGCTATATTTTTTATCTGCTTGCAGTTTCTTGGTGTTGCTGTGCTGTGAGAATCGCACCTACAAGTGCCGCAGCATTATGGTTCCGATACACGCTAGCTTCGGTCTGGTGAATTTTATGTTGGCAATTGCCACTTGCATCACTGGCCTGGTGGAATATGAACGTCAGAATGCAGGCGATGCTGTTTTGAGGTAATGTGTTAATTTCTTAACTACTTACATGTAGACTATTCTATTTAGTTACGTACTTTTTTAACAAATTATCTAATACTATGAGCTAGGACTTGAAACTTACAACTTAGCACAGAACCCGATGACAAAGCTAAGTGGCGCACGTGTCAGAAATTTGAAATTTGTGGATATATATTACTTTAATGAAAAGGAATAATTCCAGATAGGTGGCACGTGGATCGACATATTTGGAAAATCCGCATTTAATTGGAAATATATAACTCCATAAAAACCGTTAAGTGTTCCGGGGGTCGATTTGTCTGTTTTTATTAACAACTATAAAAACTTGTCTTTAATTTTTTTTAATTACTTGTTTCAATTTTCAATGAGTGAATATACCATTTTTCGTTGATTCGCCAGTTTTGTTTGAATCCTCTTCTATGTATTTGATTGAATTTAATGAGGAATAACTTTCTTGATCTGATGTGGCTTAAAATTTGCATTGATTTTTCATACTTTTTATTGCTGACGGCACTACGTATTATCTTCCATACACACTTGTGTTCTCGGATGAAGTTCTTAAATATCGTTCCTTTCTATGAAAATAAAGAGTCGTTCTGGGCAGAAAACTCAACTCGAAAATCTACGTATATTTAAAATCGTAAGCAGAAAGTCTGTATAGCATTCAATACTTCCAAGATAATCTTCAGGAGAAAGCGGGTAGTAACCTAAGCTTATGATGTAAATGTAATCGCTGTCATAAGAGAAAGCTTGACTGTAAGATAAATAAAAACCTATTTCTAATACATTAAAATTTACCTCTGCACAAAATATTCATACTTAATTAAGAAGTATTCAAAT